AAGAAACCTAGATCTTTGATCTGTAGAGTTTCTCCCCAGTCTGGCTTATGCTGATTGCATCCACAACATGTGGTTTAGGATGTTCCTCCCCCCCCCTTTTTTTCCCTGTGTATTGGTGTCTGGATATAAAAGCTTCATCAGATATGAATTTTTCTGCAAAACTATTTCATGGGTGGCCTGTGTCCTTCACTGTTGACGTTAGCAGCCATTGCAGCTCAATGTTCAGATCCAGTAATTTATTAAGATTTTGAAGTGATGATATTCTATTAATAATTCTATCATTCTTTCTCCATCTGTTAGCTGAAGCCTTCTATGAGAAGAATCTTAGGCCCATCTACTATTTGGTTATTCTTAGGTATTGAATGGAATTGGAAGGGTAGGGTCAATGTACTTTATTCTTTCCTAATTACCAGTTTTTAAAGTAATGAGTTGGTTCATTATTATCTTACAAAGTTGACTAATTAGGGTTCCCTTTTAACAAATATTATTATGAACTTGTAAGTTTAAACATGTTTGTGTTTAAGTACACTCTAGTTATAATCTTTATTAAAACTCCATTTGACTTCCTTAAACTGGCTCCTGGATCCTTTGCATATGTCCCTAATAGTCTTAGATATTTTCCTTGCTCTCTGGTAGGATATGTTCTGGCTCAGTTTGTACATTTTCCTTTCCTGCAATCAGCCATTTTCCAAGGACCATTGATGTCTTTTAGTGGAAAATGGTTTCTGAAGACCATACTCCAGGTGCTGTGGGTGTTTACTGCTACTGAGTTGGTCACTGTTTCTGGGCTTTTTTATTACTTTTCGGCCTTCAGTGGACAGAGTTAGGGTTAATGTTATTCTAATAAAAATACACACACATATATATATATATATATATTTTAGACAGTCTTGTTGTGTCGCCTTGGCTAGAGTGCAGTGGCATCATCATAGCTCACAGCAACCTCAAACTCCTGAGTTCAAGCTATCCTCCTGCCTCAGCCTCCTGAGTAGCTGGGACTACAGGTTCACGCCACCATGCCTGGCTAACTTTTTCTATTTTTAGTAGAGATAGGGTCTCGCTCTTACTCAGGCTGGTCTCAAACTCTTGACCTCAAGTGATCCTCCTGCCTTGACCTCCCAGAGTGCTAGGATTATAGATGTGAGCCACTACGTCTTGCCTAAAATATTTTATACTGAAAAATGATACTTAAAAGTCAAATTTGTGACTGCAGGGTTGCTTTTTAATAGCTTTCATCTTACATGTGAACTTTCTTTCTTCCCTATCAGAAATTCTGCCTCTCAAATATATGGGATGATTAAATTAAAATATCACATAATTACTCTTTTGTTTTACTCTACATTACTTATAAATCAGGAATAGAATTACACAGTACTACCACCACTAGTATAAAAACAGTTAACATTTCTTTAATGAACATGCTCTCCTCATTGTTTTCCATTAAAAAAAAAAAAGAGTTGCACAATCTGTTTGTCACAGCATGTAGCATAGAATACTATATTATCATACTTATAAGCATTGAGTGCTAGTTTTGTAAGTTGATATTTAATGTTCGTCATCCATCCTTTTGTTAGTGTTTCTCTAGTCATTTTGGTTATATGAAAGTTGCTCTCTAGTGATTCTGCAGGAAAATCATGGCAAAATATTCCCTGAGTTCTTGTGTGTTGATATTTGTTTGAAGTGGTCATTTTATTTGCAAGTCACTTTGTCTGAGTATAAAATCCTTTTCCTGTATTTGCTTTCTTTGGTATCTTAAATGACACTTTATTTCCTTCAACATAAAACATTGCTTTTGAAAAGTCTGATAAAAATCTGATTTCTTTCCTTTTTAAGTGATGTGGCTTTGTTGCTTTGATACCCAAAGTGGGTTTTCCCTTAAATTCTTCTAATTTTACTAGAATAATTATTAGTATTGATAATTTCTAGTGCTAATTTTTTAGGTATACTGTGCTTTTTAATGTTTGGTTTCAATGTCCGGTTTCAATTTTTTAAATTAAAGAAAAAATTGTATTAAATCACGTATTTTTAATTTTTGTTCTGTCCTCTCAATTTGATTTTCTTACTTGGGCATTCATATTTGTGTATGTTGGGTCTTCTCTATCTGCTTTTGATATTTGTTACTTTCTCTCAAATCCTTTTAAATTTTATCTTCATGCTTTTCTTTAAAAAACAGATTTTCTTTCTTGGAGCAGGTTTAGGTTCATGGCAAATTGAGTGAAAAATAGAGTTCCTATGTACACTCTATCCATCCCCTCCCACCTCACCACTATCAATATCCCTTGCCAGGGTGGTGCATTTGCTACAACTGATGAACTTACATTGGTATATCATTTTCACTCAAAGATCATAGTTTACATTAGGGTTTACACTTGGTGTTGTACACTTGGTGGATTTGAACAAATGTATAATGACATGTATCCACCATTATAGTATCATACAGAGTAGTTTCACTGCCCTAAAAATCCTCTGTGCTCTGCCTATTCATGACTTCCCCACCCTATCCATTGGCAACCTCTGATTTTTTTTTTTTTTTTTTACTGTTTTCATAGTTTTACCTTTTCCATGTTGTTGGAATCATACAATATGTAGCCTTTTCAAATTGGCTTCTTTCCCTTAGTGATATGCATGGAAGTCTCCTCTATGTCTTTTCACGGTGTAATAGCTCATTTCTTTTTAGCACTGAATAATATTCTGTTGTCTCAGGGCACCATAGTTTGTTTATTCATTCACCTCGGACCATCTTGGGTGCTTCCAAGTTTTGGCAACGATGAATAAAGCTACTAAAAACACCATATGCAGCTAAATACTAAGGAGTATGATTGCTGGATTGTAGGGCGAGTATATTTAGTTTTGTAAGAAACTAACAAATTTTCTTCCAAAGTGGTTATACCATTTTTCATTCCCAACAGCATTCCTTGTTATTCCACAACCTTGCCAGCATTTGGAGCTTGTGTGGAGGTTCTAGCAGGGGAACACAACTACTCTTGACCACAGAAAGTTCCTCTCCTAGGGGGGATGTCTTCCTCTTTGGCTGATAGCATGGCATTGGTGGTAGATCACATTAAGTGAAGGAGGAAGGGGACACACCCACTCAGCCATCCAGATCAGTCGCATCAACCCGGATGATCAATGGGCTGACAGATGTTCAGCCATGTCACCCTCACGTCCCTTCAGATCTTATTGATCTTTAAAATTTCTCTCCCTTTCACCTTCTCCATCACTTATGTCTACTTCTTTTTACTCTTTTATTCTTTCTAGTTTAGTGTTCTTTTCTGAAATTATTATTTTATTTCTAATTCTCCTCTGAATTCTATCACCTCATTTCTGAGCTTTTTTTACCCTGACGTAGGTTGATCTTACATGCTGTTTATCTTTTTTTTCTAATGAATTTAGCTCATTTTGAAATACTAGGTTCTAATTTTCATATATTTTTCAGCATGCCTTTATGGCATGCCTTTATTTTAGCAATTCAAGCATTGTGATCTTGAAAAAGTCTCACTCTCTATGAGCCTCAGTTTTTCCAGTTGTAAAATGGGGAAAATAATTCCTAATCTTTTTCTGATCAACTCCAAATTCCAAACAAAATTTTAAAATTATGTGGATGTACAAAGCACCCTACAGAGATATTATTTCTAAATATGGAATTTCAAAAGTCTATCAATTGACTGTCTCCTAAGTAATCACCATTCTCTCCAGCTCAGCTGGCAAATCCTCAGCTCCTGCTTCCTACCTAGTCATGTTGACCCTAGCACTACACATTACACATGTTGCTCATTTTCTGCTTTTCTGTATGTTAGCTCAAAATGGCATTTACCTCACTCCTTTTCTGTTATTTTTTTAATGAAGTTTGTTTTCTTAAACTTTTAGAAGGAGGAGTTAAGATAACTTTCCTAACTTTACACCCTAAAGCGAATTCTTCCACTGTTTTGTATCGTGTTAAAAAACATGGCAGTTTACTTTCTTGGATCTCCTTGCTCTGTTCCAATCTCCATTTTCTTTATGTGGACACCCCCTTTTCTTTTTCTTTTTTGTCCTTGTGCTTCTCAATTTGGATTTTATTCCTGGCACTTTATCCTCAGTGTTGGGCTTCATCCTGGAAGGGAGCTTTGAAGACTGGTTTTGGGAGTTCATGGAGGCAAAGATGCTCCAGTCTCTTTAGAACTTATTGCAGGGTCCTTGTACTCACCCACTACTGAACTATGCAAAACCCCCCGCAGTTTCAGCTGCTATCACATTGGTCTCCTGAAATTTCCAATGAGTTCCTGTTGGCTATTTTAGGATTCTTAGGGATATAGGATACCTAGTTGCTACCCAGTGCTTTCTCTGTTACAGGTGCTATACATGTCTTGTAGCTATTCAAGGTTTGTCCACATCTGCCTGTATTTTGGGATACATGAGGATATTTTGTCATCTAAGTTTGTTGAAGATGATCATCTGTTTTTCTTTGCTTTTCTAGGTTTTTATTTCACTATTTTTTTTTTTTTTGAGAAATGGGGTCTCACTCTTGCTCAGGCTGGTTTTGAACTCCCGAGCTCAAGCAATCCTCCCTCTTCAGCCTCCCAGAGTGCTAGGATTACACTATTTTTTTTATTTCAGCATATTACAGGGGTACAAATGTTCAGGTTACAGATATTGCCTTTGCCCCACCCGAGTGAGAGCTTCAAGCGTGTCCATCCCCACACGGTGCGCACCGCACCCATTCGCTGGGTGTGCTCATTATGGTGGGATTTGACGAGATTTGAAAACTATGCTACCACTACCACTAAGATTCCCTGAATAAAATTTTATGATGTTCAAGAATATGTAATGAAAGTAGCATATAGTTGAGTCATTCATGGAACTAGTTTCAACAAACAGATGGTTTTGGAATAAATATTTTGATAATATGTGAGTACTTAGAAATTTCCTTTAGGTAAGACTGTTTTATCTAACACCATTATCTATAGACTCTTATGAAACTGAGTTATTTCATGAAATATTTTTTTTGTTTTTCTTTCCAGTCTTTCAATTTCTGATGCCCTGCATTTTTTCCAGAGAGGTAAGTGTAGCAATTCTCTGTCTAGGACCATAGACCTGGATGTCCTACAATTATAGTAATCCTCCTTTCCTAAATCATGAACCATACTCTATTTCCTAATTTTGTTAACTTCTAGGATCTATTTTTGCTTTTCTTTCTTTTTTTTTTTTAACTTTTCCAACACTACTTTTAGTTCACTATAAGTAAATATTCTTTGCATGTATAAACAATATAGAATCACAAATTTTTATTCCCCTTTGAAGGTGTCTTTGCTGAACTTTCGAGATCTTAGTGTCAATGTAGGAGAAAATCATAGTGGTTGGTGAAACATAAGAAAGGAGCAAAAACATAGTAAATTGGAAAAATTAGCTTAAAGCCATATCTTTAAATATACATCTATTTTTCTAGCTCACACATTACTAAAAAAAAGTCCAGTTTTTTATGTTTTTTTTTTATTTCAGCATATTATGGGGGTACAAGTGTTTAGCTTATGTGTGTTGCCTTTCCTTCCCTTCTCCCCACCGAAGTCAGAGTTTCAAGCGTGTCCATCCCCCAGATGGTGCGCATCGCACCCATTATGTATGTATATACCCATCCTCTCCTCCCCCGCCCCTTCTGCCTGACACCCGACAAATGTTATTCCTATATGTCCACTTAGGTGTTGATCAGTTAATACCAATTTGCTTATACATCATCCTTATCTTAGTGTACCCTTAGGATTCAGATTTTATTTGGTCTCTAACTTTGTTTTCTACATAAAAGGGACCAGGCCTCATTGGAGGTAATTGATTTCCCTCCTTAGGGCAGGAAAACAAATGAGGAGATTTAGTTACAGTTTAAAACATACTGTTGTCATCAGAAGGCAAGAATGATTTCAAAGATGTAAGGGGTAGTAAGAAAAAAGTGAATGAATCTGCTTAAAGAGACTTCCTATAAGCATCAAATAATGATACTAACAGTAATACTTAGAAATCTGCATCTTCAAAAACCCATGAATTCATAATAACACATCAAGTAAAAAAGGTTACTATTAAGTATACAAAGGGTAGCTATTATATAAAGTAAGATAATATGTACTTGGATATTTGAAAATTTTTACTTTTACAGTAGGAAGTATTATTGTATGTGGTATTTTGTGCTTCTATTAATTAGGTGTATTTCCTACCCATGTAAGCAGAAAAGAAACCCTGTACAAAGCAGGAACTCTACCAAGAACAGGAAGTACTGATTAGCATTAGTGATCATACAAAATAATCTAATAAATTGAGTGCAAAAGTTCGCTAGACCTGTTGGTCAAAATAATGGATACTTCAAAAGATTTTTCTCCAATGAAATAAATTAGCCTAATTTTCTAAAATGGTTAGCTATCCATAGAGAGTAAGCTCTAGATAGCTCTCATACTTAAGCTAAAGAAATTACTAAGAAATATATTTTTCAAATAATGTTAATAGACTAGGTCCTTATATCACAATGACAGGACAATAGACTAGGGACTAGGTCAGGACATCCAAAACTGTAAAAATACATAATTTTAAGAAAAGGCATCAAGTTTTAAGACCTTGAAACTTTAAACATTTATTATTTAGAGGGATTCACCTTGTGATGCTCAGTATCACCTGTTTGAATCACCATAGCCTTTATAATCATAGCCAAGATGCAAACCCCGGGTCATGCAGCCAACAACTCAGAGTCTAGCTAGACCCTTGACTTATATGACACTGTGATTTTTTTGGTGGGGGGGGTGCGGAGGGTCTGGTAAGATTAAAAAAATTCTAAGAACATTTAAAAATGGGATCACTGGCAATGTGTCAAAATAAGGGTAAGAATAAGAAACAGTTAAACCTATTTTAGAATTTTGATAGCTAGCTTTAATGTAAAAGTATTATAAGTTCTGTAATCCTTGTATTTGTACATGGTTTGCAGTTTAAGATGCTTGATATATTCAAAAGCAGCAACCATACTACATTTGTAATTACAGTTAAAATTATTTGAAGGAATTTAATTAAATTTATAATAAAATTGATTTTTAAAGTTTTTATTTGGATATATGAATTTAATAAATCGAGCATTAAGCTAGGTACCATGATAGTGTATATTCCTCCTCTTGAATAAAAACTCCTTGGTCATAATTGTTATTGGTTCTCTAAAAAGGAGACTTTAAATTTGAAACCAATGTTCTCTCATATATAAAACTTTAATTTGCCTTTCAAATTCTTTCCCCACTGCCTTTAAGAAGCTGCAGCAGTCAACGAGCATTATGACTCACCGCACTGTGATTCATCATCGCGTTCACCACCATCCTTTGGTTAAATATATTTCAGTCATTGCTGAAATGGAAGCAGAGGAGATCAAGCACAGTAAATAAGTTGGTTGTGCAGGAGCAGAATTATCTTTTTGAGTATTAGATTTGCAAACTTCCAGTTCTGTACTTTGCCTATAGGATCTTAGATAATGATCCATATAAAAAAAGGGCATAAAATGATACTTTTGAAATAGTGATCATCGATATTTGTTGTTTTGTCACCTCTTGCCCCTTCTTTTGGAGAGCTCTTTTCTCTGTTTCACCCATGTGCTTCTTTGGGAACTGTAATTATAGCTCCCTATTTCCTCCTTTCACAGGTGGGCAAATGTCACATAAAGCACCAGAACTGTGCACCCTGTTGGTCATATAAACTCATTGACGTCAGCAGCTCAAATAAGATGCACTGACAGGAGCTGGGACCAAATTCATCCAATTTGTCTCATGCAGCACTTGATTAGAGCTACTACCAACAGAATGTTGATCAGCAAGATGATGCCACTCTGCAGTATTGGCCTTAGCTATGTATCCCAGCATCCCTGTATCCTGAATAAGTCCCAGAGGGCATTAGATGGTCTTATTTCAGGTAAAATCATTTAGGTTTCTTTCCTATGATGTGGTGGATTGTTCTAGCTGACTGGTAGCATTCATCCAAGCATGGGACGTAGGTGACTATACACACCCTTCTCTATTCAGCCAGGATGCAGTGTAAGGCAAGTCTGTTATCCACTGCGATCCATGAAAGGGAGTTTAGATTGAACTGCTGATCTTCCCCGGTTTGTGCTGTCTCACGGGCTGTAGTAACTAAGTTGAAGGATGGGTTTCTGATTATTGTCTCTCTAGGCTTCCGAGCCAGGAAGCAGTAGTCACACCACTGTATGGAATTGGGAGTCAGAGTATTCCTGGTAGAATAGCCCTCTTTACCCTGTGTCCCCACAAGGGGATTGTAGACCAAGGGGCAGTGTCAGTCCCAATAGTTACAGAGGGAAACAAATGGGCAAAAGAGAAACCTCTGTCCCCAGTGGCAGATATTCAGTGGCCCACTCTCCTTCACATGCAAACATATAACTCAAATGGCACAGGTCACTCCAGTTCAGGATTTGTCATTAAACTTACTTGGATCACATTATGTGGGTTTGGTTAAGACTTGTGGCAGTGTCACCAGGTAGTCACAGACTTGATTGCCATACATGGCACAACCCCAGGTTGCTTGGGCCTCAAGAGACATGAATTTTTATCAGTCATATTGAAATGCAGTTGTGAAGTCTATGTGTTTGTCATATAGAGTGAGTGAGGTCCACGTTGGGAGCTGTTGACAATAGCGTCAAGCACAGCAAAATAGTTCATAGATAAACATGTCCACATGAGTTTTCCTATTCGCATAGCATGTGGACAAGGACAATAAATCCAGCACTGAGGTAGATTACTAGCATAGCTGCTTCTTGACTCAGGGAGACCATGTTATTGTTTTGCCAAGCTGTGGGGCCAGATCTGGGGGATAAGGGACACAATAACTGTTCCTCCATCCCAATACTTCTCAGGGTCTAAGGTCTTCCTTCCTTAGGTGCCAGAGTTGTTTTTCTCCCTTCTCAGTCATGTAGCTTGTCTGGATCTAATAGCTACTACTTCTCCCCTTGCTCAGCCCAGTGGGTCAGGTGTCATGGGGGCTGGGATACAATGATAGGACTTGTAATGACCCAAGTGGGCCGCTGTGGGGGTTCTGTAGGGTTCACAATCTCTATTGGCTGCTCAATATAGTCATAGTTTGTGATCTGTCCTACCCAATAACTGAAATTAGTTGTAATTCAAGCAACAGGTTGGAGGTTCCCATGCCTTATTGTCTAATTGCCACCCTAAGATAAACCTAGTTGGCCTCCCAGACACTAGAGTCAATGGGGAAATAAAAGGGAAGGGGTAGGGTACTGTCAGATTGTAAGAATCACAGATGTAGAGAGCTAGTCTTTCCATTCCACTCCCTGCCTCCCCTTCTATCCTGATTTTCTCCACCCAGTAATTCCAAAGGGCATATTCCCTTGTTGGGAACAGCTGCATTTAATGCCCGTACTGTCTAAGATGTTAGTTCACAATGTTGACAACATATTCTGTCCAGTAGTCTATTTTTTTATTCAAGTATTTAAATGTCTATTCTACCTCTAGATGATGTCAACAACCTCAGGATGATAAGAGTCTAAAATGTCTATTGAATACCATGTCCATTTGCCTACGTTACGTACCTTTTGCTGCCTGTAGGGTGCCACTGTCTTATTGTGAATATGCTGGATATCCAAAATCATGGTATAGTTTATTCTCCAATGCTACTATTGTGCAGCCATAGATGGAATAATTGTCAATGGCCATTAGACACCAGTGGTAGCAATGAGATAGCAGCAGAGGATTGATGATTCTATTTGCCAGGAGTGGGCATGGGTCTTGAACTATGTACCCTTACTAGGGTATAAGACTTCCGAGTCCCTTCAGGACAGAGAGACCTTGGACCTATTCCTAGTCCCTCTTCTCTTTAAAGGCTGCCAAATCAGAATATAGGAGTGCAGGGTTAGGCAGCAGGGGTCCTAAAAAGGAATAATTGGTTCAAGGAAACCGCTGCACTTGTTACTTCCTCCAGTGTAGCGATATTGACTTCCGTGGAGGAATCTCATTGACTTTCCATTTCACTGGTCTTGAGGAAGTCTTCACGAGTGGCCTATAATATAATCATTCTCTCACTGCAAAAATGCACTAGCTGTGTCTCTTACAGATCCTCAGTCCATTAACCAAGGTGGCCCCGGATTTCCTTCCCCTTCTTCACAGCATACCTGGGTACTTTGTGCTTGGGCATGCCACATCCCAGGGCTGGTTCTAGTTGTGGGTTAAAACACTGCAGCTGAACTTTCCTCCCTGGCAGGGGCCCAAGGTGCTTTCCTGGTCCTCTGTTCTGCAGGAGAGTGAGAACCCCACAGCACTGATTGGGCACCTTGTCTCCATTCTACCTCTTAGCACTCAGCCTCTATTCATTGACTTGACTCCTGTTCATTAAGAGAGAAAAAAGTGAGGGATCATTTTTTCTCCCCACACTCTGGCCTATCACTTGGATGAGAGCATTCGCTGTTGGCTCCCTGGGAGTTTTCTTATATTCCTGAATGTGGCCTATAAGGCTCTTGGCTTTTCTTTTCCAGAATGTCTTTATGTATCTTGGCACCCAGCTTTCTGTTTAAGAAGAGTCCCAACCTCATAGAGGATAGTAATGCCATAACTCTGTAAGTACAAATCAAGACTGTGGATCAGAGCAAGACAGCTTATTACTCACAGTACAGTAAACAGCAGGAGCATCAACATGGTTGAACCAATTTTCTGGTCTCTAATTCAAGGGAGCTGGTACAACCACATTGATGGGTCCAGACAAGGGCTATGCAGTAGGTTGTGATGCAAGAGGAACACAGCCGAAATCTCAGCACCTTTTGTGAGAAGCAGCAAGCAAGTCAGTCTCCCTCCTATGGGGAGCTCATGATCTCATAGTAGTCACACTGGGGTCACCTTCACCTATTAATTGCCTGTGTGACTAGCTATTGAAGATGCTCTGGGGATAGTCAGGCCATGCAGTTCAGGGCACTCAGGAAGAGTGTGAAGAAGTATGCAAGCCCACAGCAGATTGCCTCTCTTAACACTTATAAGTTCATTAAAATAAGTTCTATAATTTTTTATTTGCAATTGAAAAAATATCGAATTTTATAGGGATTTTTGTAATGATCAGTGTAGAGAGTGAATCTGCATATGATTGTTGCTAGATGCCCAGGTACCAAGAGCAGAACTCAAGCAGGTAGGTCACAGTAGGTGAGAGAAACTTTCTCTACCAGGAAAACTATTATCCTTACTTCTGTTGTCTTACTATCTTTCCCACCTGCCTAATGACAAATATAGAAAAATTATCTGGATTTTCTTGAACTCTGGGGGCCCGAGAAGCATTGTTATAGCCATGTCATTGCTTTCTTGGACTGTTGCAGTATTACTCAGCTAACTTTTTTCTAGACTTGCTGCACACAAACTCTGGTTTCATCTTCCTCAAGCATCTCTTTCAGCCACTCTTCTGTTTGTTGATTTCCTAATATATTTTTTTTCAGAGGGGGATTTATTTTTTTTTTTTAATTTTTATTTTTTTCAGTTTATTTATTTTTTATTTCAGAATATTACGGGGGTACAAACGTTTAGGTTATATATATCGCTTTTGCACAGCCCAAGTCAGTGGGCATGCTTGATTTCCTATTGTTTTTAAGGGAAGTTTCCAAACTCCAAACCAGAACATTCAGAGTCTTCCATTAAGCTAATCACATTTCTGGCTACTCCTCTTTAGGGTAGCAAGGGGGAACCTCTCATTATTCCTGAAAGATTTCTGCTTCAATTTATTTAATTATAACATTATCTAGAACTTAATTGCACACTCATCTTATTTTCACTTCCACAGATTTTCAATACCCTCTCAGGTCTAGCACATGCCTCAGTTACTTCATGAATATTTCTCCAACTATCATGAAAACTCACTTTGCTGAGTTATCCTCCTAGCTGGCACTTAACATAACGTTTTAACATCTCATCTCTGCTTGGCCAACTCGGTTGCAAAGTTCCTGTGGGTTGCACATGCTATTTACCACATGGCTTACTGAAGTATGCATTCACTGATGAATGGGTGGATTTCTTTTTTTCTTTCAATAATATTTGAAATGTTTCAGATAAGATGACCCTATTTATTTGAATTTCATTTAAAAACAAAAACAGATTCTATCTCATTTGCTTTGAGTATCTCAAGACAGTTTTTGACCTTTTATTTAATGGATTTTATTGATAGCATGTGAGTTCTTCTTAGGGTAGCCTTCTCATAGCATCTTAAATTTTCTCCCCATATCTTCTGCGAGGGTTAAATCTCCAGTCATTCTGAACTGGGTTCACTTATTCTTTTAATGATTTAATTAATTATGCAAAAATCATAGTTGCTGTAGGAGTGAGTCTGAAACTAATTGGCACGGCTGAAAGGAAAGGAGAAGAGCTGTAGAAAGGACTCCAAAACTGACTTGGATACACACTAAATTTGGAGAGTATGTTGTAATAGCTGCATAAGCAGTGGTATCCCACTCCGCAGTAACACTGTCTGATTGATTGCTTTGGCTGAACAATAGTTTTGGAACAATATGTTCAGTATAAACAGTGCCTATGTGCATTTTCACATCAAATGCAAAGAATGATTATTTTTTCTTTTGTCAAGATTAGGTACCCTCAAGTATTTATTTCAGAGAGAGAAAAATAGCTTCTTCACTGAGTTCAGAGTTGCCTGATCTCTCAGCAGGCCTGACAATACTTCTTAAAAAAAATGATATTCTGGTGTCCTGATGTCTCTATGACAACAGTAAAAAATATAGACTGTGTGCCATCAACAAGTCAAAAAATGTTTATAAATCTTCTTTCCCTACACAGGAGAAAAGAAAGAATGGCTATTTGTGAGGACTAATATTTACTGAAGAGGAGATCGGGAGTGGGGCGGCAAGGAAGAGAGAGACCCTGCCAGTTTGCAACATCCCAGGGAAGAAAGGGCGCCTACGCAGAATGTGAAGGAGAAACAGGGTAGGGCCCGGGGAGCGTCGGGGGCAATTTCGTGTGACACTTCTAGCCTCAGAAGAGGCTGGAAAGATGAGAAAAGGATAAATTGGATGAAATCAAGTTATCTCTCTTTAAATGTCATACCACCATTACATTAATACAAATTAAATGAACCGTTAAAACTGAGTTAATTTACACAAATGTCATAATTTGTATAAATGCCTCTGAGCCTAGGGTGTCAAAATATTTAACAACAGGTAAAGTCTGGCCACTGACCAATCAGGGCCCTGGTCATAGTGCTGGAGCAGGCTCAAAGCTCCTTTATGCAGTTAAGTGTTGTTAACCCTTTAGTTGCGGGATGCTGGAGATGTGAAGGTTGTTCTCAGGGAGGAGGAATGGGGATACTTAAGGGCGATGGGCTGTGGTCATTTACTAAGTTACAGGCATATCTCAATATATTATAACCCAGTATGACAGTAATAGGGTGTTATGGCTGAATAGTAATCAGTTCTAGTTCTACAATTCTATCTCTAGGATTTTCTCAGAGGAAATGAGCCCAAATATTGAAAAGGCTATATGCATGGTGATAGTTACTGTGATAATTCACAGATCATAAGACAACTGGGAATAACCTATATATTCTGTAAGGGTCTTTTTAAGTTTTTCTATACTTAATCAATAAACTATTATGCAGCTATTAAAATAGTGGTTATGAAGACTTTGTGATAACATATAGGTGCTTATAATACATTGTTGAGTTAAACGCCATATATACAGTATATATTTATTTGAATACACATTATGTTAAAGGAGACAAACTGAAGTAGAAATAGTTCTGTCAATGTTTAGTACCTCTGTGTCCTTAATTTTTCAACTTTTTCAATGTGGTCATGCTAATTTAATAGTAAGCAATTTAAATGGAAAAAAGAGTAAAATAAAAAATCAAATCCAAACATAAGCTCATCTTCTTTCCTTTCAAATGTACATGCTCCTTAATTTATTCATCATAGTTATGACTTTATTGTTGCACTCCACCTTGAAAAAACACTGTACTTTTTGGAGTCAGCATTCTTCCAACAAGCAGAGCTAATAGGCTCTATCTATGTCTATTTTTTAAAAAGTTATTTTAAGAAATTGGCTCAGGTGGTCATGGAGGCTAGCAAATCTGAAAGCAGCATGCTGGAAACTCAGGCATGGGTTGATGCTGTATTCTTGAGTCAGAATTTCTTCTCCTAGAAACCTCAGTTTTTGCTCTTAAGTCCTTCAACTGAATGGGTGAGGCCCACCTATATTACAAAGGTAATCTCTTTTACTTAATGTAAAGTGATTGTAGATATAAGCCACATCTGCAAAATACCTTCACAGCAGCACCTGGATTAGTATTTGGTTAAAGAACTAACTGGGTTCTGTAGCATCACCAAGTTGACACATAAAACTAACCATCACAAGCACATTTCCTATATTTTAGATTCTTATATTTCTGGGATCAAGTAACAATCAGAAAAATCCTTGGGGTTTAGGATTTAATTACCTCATTCAATTCTACACATAGTTGCCATTACTACAGCCAACATTTTCCTGCTTAAAATTCACCAGTGGCTCTCTATTCTCCTCAGAGTAAAATTTGGACTCCTTGCCAGGGTCTGTGTGGCCTGTCTGAACTGCCTCTTGTCTTCCTCCATAACCTCATCTTTCACCACTCTCCCCATGCACCTAAGGCCCCTCAGCCTCTGTCCCTGCTTTCCTTCCTGAAGGCATATTAAGCTTATCTTGCCTCTGGTTGTATATCCGAAACCACTCCTGTCTGAAATGCTTGGTCCTTAGCACCTTCATTCATGGGCTCCTTCTTGTTTTTCAGATTTCAGCTAAAATTTAGTTGGTATTTCTACATTGGTTAAGGTTGGTAGGCATTTTATATGTAGGACCCTTCACATTCTGACAAATGTTATGAAATATCTTTATTTTAGCAGGAAAAATATAGAAGCTAGATTGCAAAAAAAAAAAACATTCTCCTCATTGGCTTGATAAGTATTCATACAATTTTTTTCTGATAAATTACTTTAGTGGCCTTTCATTTTAGGAACATTTGGAAGGTAAACATAATTTGGTCTCTGAGAATGTGGTTGTATTTGTCCACAAGCATTCATTTACTACTCGACTTTGTTTAAACTGTTCAAAAAGGGGTCAGACTGTATATAATAGTAAAGAAGAGAGAAATTAAGTATCTGTAGCTAATGAAGTTTCAGGTTGATGAGCTTATAGCAGAAAGAACTTGAGACACGTGCTCTCCTGTCTAAGAAGCTGTCACACTGGTGAGTATGATAGAAATTGGACCAAAGATAATGGATATATTTTCACATTATCATTTCTGGTTGAATATTTTTAACTTAAATATCTGTGCCATTGTTATATTGATCTTGTTTTAGGAACCTAGCTCTTTAGGAGGTAGTCCTAGTTGATCCAGAATCCAGTAGCATTTGCTAATAAAGAGTTTAGTTTGGCATATGTTATGTAAGATTCGGAGCCAGTCCCTGTGTAATCAACATTGCAGCAGTTACTACCATTATTATTACTAGTCATATAATTATTACACTTCAAGTGAGAATAATTCTGTTTTATCATGAAAGGGATTTTTTAAGAAAATTTTTTGAAGTATAAAATAGAAATTTTAATTTGTGTATAAAGGTTGAAAAGGCATTTAAAAAGGGAAGGAAAGAATGTTTATTTTTATTTTTTATTTTTCCTTTTATTTTATCATATTATGGGGGTACAAATATTGTTAGGGTTACATATATTACCCCTGCCATTCCTCCCCCTGCCCCCCCCGCCTTACCAAAACATCAAGCGTGTCCTACCCCCAGGTGGTGTGCATCACACCTATTTTGTAAGTATATCCTTCCCCTCCTCCCCCTCCCATCTGCCTACCACCCGATAAAAGGTTTTTTTTTTTTGACCTTTGGGTTACATTGTATATCTTTGCCTTTTCCTATGGAGGGTTAGAGGTATTCCCTCCCTCCCCCTCCCCCAATGCTTGTACAATCCTAAGATGTGGACTT